ATAGTTCTTCTTCTTCTTCGTTCTTAATTTTTGAATATGGTGGATTCAGACAACAAGTCCAACTTCGTGGACAAACCGGACTGTGGTCTCCAGTTTGTCAGGTGTCCCATATAATTTTTCCCTGAGTGGGGTGGGCTGGGGCCAGTGTCTGACTCTTGCCTGGCTATACAGATTACATTCCTGGAGTACGTGCTCCGTGTTTTCCGGGGCCTTGCCACAAGGGCACATTTCGCTACACCCAACCTTCAGTTTTTTGTGCATGTGTTGATTTAGTCTGTTGTGGCCTGTTCTAAGTCGAAAGATTATGTATTGTTGTTTTCGTGTTAAATTGTAATAGCCATCGTCTTTAATGTAGTGAGGGTGTGTGACAGACCACATTTGCGTTTGTTTGATTTTTATTGTTCTTTTTATTTCTTTTGGGTGTAGCGAAATTTCCGGTTGTGGTTTCTTTCCCCCAATTTTTGCCAGCTGGTCTGCGATCTCGTTACCCTGGATCTGGCAGTGGCCCGGGATCCACTGCAGCACAGTTCTGCTGCAGGTATTTTTTAGCCTCTCTAGTGCTGTCATAAGTGTTTGAATATAGGACTCCGGATTTTGTAGGGATTGCAGGACTGATTTGGCATCTGTAAGAAATACAATCTGACTATTCGGTGATTCAGGGTGTTCTGATAGGAGGTTTGCTGCGTGTTTTAAAGCTTCTTTTTCTGCCCTAAAATTGTCGGACAGGCTGCCTGTGGCTATTGCCTTCTCCAGGCTTTCTCCGCTTGGCCATTCAATAAGGATGCCAGCCCCGCCATTTTTTGTGGCATCTTCAGCTGAGCCATCTGTGAAAACTCTAATCCAGGTATTGCTGGGGTACTGATCCTTGATGTGTTTATTTGTTATTTTCTTAAGTTCTTCTAGATCATAGTCAGATTTTTTTCCTATGGTGTCTATTGAGTCAATAATGGTTAAGTGACAGTGGGAGATCCAAGGCGGGGAGAGGTTTTGAGTTTTTATTGCTTCAGGAATGATATTTTCGATTTCATATTTCTTTTTCAGATTCTTTGCTTCTTTGATGAAACTTGTTCTTTGTAGTCTGGTTGATGGACTGGGTTTCTGGAGTTTTTGTTTTAGGTTATGGTTTTCCAGTGCCTCTAGCTTTGTGTATTGAGTGAGGATTTTTGATTCTCTTCTTTCTTCTATTGAGCTAAGAGCGGCTATTTCCTCCATAGCTTTTATGGGTGTTGTTTTCATGGCTCCTGTCATTATTCTCAAATCAATGTTCTGAACTTTGTCAATTTTGCTAATATTTGTTTTTGCTGCTGAGCCCCAAGCCGAAGCACCATATTCTAACGTAGGTCTCATATAGCTGGTGTAGGGTTTTTTCAGGATGTGGTGATTTGCTCCCCAGTCTGTTCCTGCCAGTTTCCTCATTAGATTAAGTCTTTTGATCCCATTACTTTGTGTGTTTTCTATTTGTTTTCTCCAGGTAAGTCGAGTGTCAAAAGTGACTCCTAGGTATTTGGGGTGGTCATTTTTTTCTAGCTCTTGGTTTTCTAGGGTAAGTTTCATTTTTTGATGTTTAGTTGATAAGGTGAAGATTGAATAAGTTGTTTTCTTGGTATTGATGGATAAGCCCCAGTTTTTGGTCCATTTGCCGAGCTTGTCAAGTGTTTCTTGAAGACAAAATTTTGAGGTACCAATATATTCCTCTGTGCTGATTAGTGAAAGGTCGTCTGCAAACATGCTTCTTTTTACTCTCCTTGGGATGTTTTCATTTAAGTCATGAGGAAGAGAGTAGGAGACAAGACTCCTCCTTGAGGGACTCCATTTTTTATAGTTACTGTGTGACTTCTTTTTCCTTGCATGGAGACTGATGCTTTTCGGTTGCTTAGGTAACCTTTTATCCAGTTTAGCATGTTATGAGATACTTGATGGTTAATTAGCTTTAGAATTAAGCCTTGCTCCCAAACCTTGTCAAAGGCTTTTTCAAAGTCGACCCACACTATTGAGGTTGGTTTTTTTTCTTGAAAGCCATCTTCTATTTCCTGAGAAATGAAGGTGATTTGGTCTTCAGTAGATCTGCACTTCCTGAAGCCTGCCTGTTCGTCTGCTAGTAGATTGTTCGATTCTAGAAACCAGGTCAGTCTGTTGTTTACTACTCTTTCCATCAGTTTACAAACGCAGCTTGTTAAACTTATTGGGCGATAGCTATCGACTTTGTTCCTGGGTTTTCCTATTTTTAGAACAGGTATCATGATTGCTTTTTTCCAAATATTTGGGATTTTCCCAGATTTCCAGCTTGCATTAAATATTTGGAGCAGTTTTTTCTTAGCATTGGGGCCCAGGTGCATGAGCATATCATTTGAGATTTTGTCAGGGCCTGGAGCTTGCTTAAGTTTGAGGAGCTTCATTGCTTCTCCGAGCTCCTTCTTGCTAATTCGAGCTACCATTCCAGTGGAGGAGGGGGGAGAGACTTTCTGTAGTTTTTCTTTAACTTCAGTTTGATTTTTAACCTCTTCTACTCTTTGGTGGCTGATATTTATTTGTCCCACTTTGCTGAAGTGGGTTATAAATTCTTTTGCTGCATCCTTTTCTGTTTTGATCGTGTTTTCAATGTCGATGACTATGGGAGTAGCTCTGTTTTCTTCTTGGTTTAGCCTTTTTGCAATACTCCATAGTTTATGACCATCTCTATCTACATTGAGGTGTTCTGTTTTTTCTTGGCAGCTTTTCCTCAATGCAGTTAGATACTTTTTTCTAAAATCTGCGTTTGCTGATTTTAATTTTATGTTATTTTCTACAGTGGGATCTTCTTCAACAATGTTTCTAGCATCAATTGTCTCGTCATGGAGTATCTGGAGGTCTGGAGTCCAGTTTGGGATATAATTTTTCCTTGCTCCCCTTGGAATAGATTTTTTGGCTGCTAACAGAACTGCTTTTGAGAAGGCTGTGTATGACTTGTTCACCTGTTTGGTTTTACAGTTGATTGGTCTTGTGTAGGAGTCTGTGAGGGAAGAGAAGAGCTCCCAATTAGCTTTTTTGTAGTTCCATCTAGGGCAGGGGTAGGCTTCAATTGGCCTGTTTGATGTTTCTATCTGGATCAGGATTGGTCGGTGGTCGCTAGTGGCTAGTTGATCTGCAACTTCTCTTTTGCATTTTTTGGATATGCCATTAGTAGCAAAAGCTAGGTCGGGGGTAGACGTGGTTAACCAAGGCCTTGAGTAAAAAGTTGGTTTGTCATCAGGTTTATTTAGAAGGATGAGCCTATTTTCTGCTTGCCATTCTTCAATTTCCTCTCCTTTAACATTGAGGTCAGGGTAACCCCAGCTCTGGGAGTGGCTGTTCATGTCTCCCACAACCAGGCACTCTTCGCTGTTTGGCAGGGAGATGCGGTCCAGTTCCAGGTCCTTATCAGGTGGACAGTAGCAATTGAAGATATTTAGGTTACCTTCTGCAAGTATGAGTTTGGTGCCCATTATCTCAGATGCTGTTGAGTTTGGTATAACGATATCTGTTGTTGGAATGTCATTTTTTATGAGAATGAGGATACCTCCTTTAGGTCTGTTTTCCCTGTCCTGCCTTATGCAGGTGTATCCTCTAATAGAGAAGCGAAGATTGCTGTTGAGGTGAGTTTCTTGAATACAAGCAACGTCTACTTTATTTTCATGTAGGAATATTTTTAAGGCTTCCTTTTTTTTGTGAACTCCCTCTGCATTCCACTGCAGGATAACAAGTAATTTGTTGTTTTTCTCACTATTTTGGCCAGTAGAATTTACCTTCTGATCCTTGCCCCTGGCTGGCCAGGCAAGAATAGAGGAACCACCAGCTCGCTTTTGTGGGCTCCTTCGAGGCGGAGAGCCCGGCCCCCTACCTGCGCGGCGGGATTCCACAGGCAGGACGCCACTTCTGTTAGTCCTATTTCTTTCCTCCATCATAAAATTAAGCAGTGCGTGCCAGCATGTTATGCGCCATACTAGATGGCCCGTTGACTCCGACTTCAGCCTGCTTTTCTTTCTGGATTTGCTTCCATAGCCTTTGATCACCCAAGAACAAACTACAAGGCAGTAGCTGTTTGATTTTGGAGTTGTCTCTCCTAGATGGGTTGCTGTCCCCAGCTAACGAGCCCCATCTGCCCGGGTTTGGAGTTATAGCGCCCCATGCTCGCCATTGAAGTCATTTCCTTGGATTTATGAGATGTTTTTTATTAGATATCCTAACCAATGGATATCCCACCTCATCCTCCATGACCACAAACCAGTTGGTCCACGGCTGTTTATTTGGTATTCACAGCTAACCCTCATATCTAAGGGCCTCTCCCCTATCTGCCACCTGGGGACGCGCTCGGTAGGAGATGGTAGCTCCCCCAAGAGAAGTATAGTTAAAAAGACCCCTTATGTCACTCCAAGAGGTCATAGAAATCCCTGCAGTGTAACAAAAAAAATGTTCTGCCTATCTAAAAAAAACCCAGGGGGCCGGTAGATCTGACTAGATCTGTTATATTTTCTTATATTAACAGCAATTTTTTATGAAGAAAGTAAACAAAGACTACATCATTCCATTAATGTACAAGGGAGGGTAACTTTCTAAATTTAATAATTTTTCAATCGATTTTATACTATTTTAGCAACAACAAAAAATCATATTAATTTCAACATAATAATGTAATATAATTTTTGAGTTAAAATCAAGGGAGCCTCTTTAGTTTAATTACTTGCAAATAATAAGTATTTGAATATAATATAATCATTTTTTTAATGAAATAACGGTTTAAACTTAAGCACTCGAAATAACAGCTGATCGCTATTACTTTATCATTCAAATTCTCAAATGATTTTTTTTAAACCTGAGCAGTATGGCTAGTACGCATTACAATTTTGTAGTCAGCTGTCAGCAGTAAGTTGAGTAAAAAATATTTTTACATTACCTATGCATAGTGTTCCAAAATGGCCAACAGCCTAACAGAATAACTGTTGTCATAAGAAGAATTTCTAATAATTCCTTTTTTTTATTTGCAGTGAAAATTATGCAAGAAGTCAATGTTAAAGTTGCAGTAAGGGTATGTACTGTGTAGAAAAATAGCTAGCAAATAATATTATACAATGTTTTAAGTGGTGACCAGAAAGATGCGCACACAGAAAAATGAGCAAAGAGAAAAATGAGCAAACAGAAAAGTGCTCACCCAGAAAAGTGCACACACAGAAAAATGCTTAAGTAAGAAAAATATGAATGCAGAAAATAACCATATATATATTTCATCTCATTCTTGTATATTTTAATTAAAAAAAAAACAAACAAATGCCACCGCTCTTTCTAAAATGCATAGAAACATAAATTGCTAATATTTTTCCGATCATCCATACATAGATGCCATTGGCTGAAGTTGCCTGTCTATCTGTGCGTCCATCAGTCCACCCATCTCTCTCTCTCTCTTTCTCTAAAGGGGGGGGGGAGAGATGGGACGGGGGACGACTAAGAAATTAAGAGCACCTAGGGAGAGTTTGTTAACTTTATAAGTCAATCCGGCACTCTACCTAGGTCAAAATTACGAGTCTTGCAGGTGTGTGACTGTAGCAGAACAAACACCTTTTTTTCTCCTAAGAATTGCATCACAGACGGCTCCCGGTCAAAAACCCCCTGGACATAAACCCCCCGACATAAACCCCTGGACAAAAACCCCCCGCGACATAAACCCCCCGGACAAAAACCCCCCGCGACATAAACCCCCTGGACAAAAACCCCCCGCGATATAAACCCCCTGGACAAAACCCCCCGCGATATAAACCCCCTGGAAATAAACCCCATGCAATATAAACCCTGTGTGCACACGTTGTGCATTTTTTGCTCTTTTTTTTCATTGCTCATTTCCGTTGTGCATCTTTCTGGGAACCAGCTTGTTGAGTAGTTCAACCAAATTAAGTTTATACCTCTTTCAAGCTTGTTTATTCACTTGTACCTTTGGCAGTTTGATGGATGTAAAGCAACATACTGGTGAACATTTATTTTGAGTTTGACATGAAATATAAAGATCACACACAAAATACCCCTTTTTACTTCCCTCCGTTCATCCTTTTTCAAAACAATTTTTAATTATAAAATTGACTTTATTAGTGACATTTTGACAATTCCTGTGGGATGTCAGAAATTTTAAGTTATATTGCAGAAAACTGACAATGTACATGCTTAGCAAGAAGGCAACAGATAAGATAAATACATGGTTTATAACAGTAAAAGCAGCCGTCTGTGACGACAGTTTACAGCCGACAATGAAAAGAGCATACATAACATGTTATTAACTCCCCTTAGTTTCAAATCCTTTAAAAACTACTAAATTCTCTGCCCCTAATAGCCGTCACTACAATTGTAAACAGCTCACCAGACTGCTTGGGGTGGTAGTGATAAAGTATGTCGAACTTACGCCTTGGCGTCTCGCATGGTTCCAATGAAGAGAGAATTATATATATAGATTCTACTTTTCAGTAATTCATATTTTTTGAAAATTCAACTCAACCAATGCTGCGACTGAAAATATTTTGCTTTAAAACACTATCAGTAGCTTGTTAAGGACAATTATCCTCCCCCTCCCCCCCCCCCCCCCCCCCTCGTTAAAGCAGTTTAAAGACAACAATGAAAAGATCAAGCATAAATTATAATTACCTCCCCTTAGTTTCAAATTGTTTAAAAATAATTTATCTGCCTCTAATAGCCGTCACTTCTATTGTAAAATTTCACATTCGGGGTGAACCACAGCTCACCTGACAGGTGGGGATGGGGGTTGGTAGCGTTATGCCTAGAAAGCAACAGCTAAGCTGCGTGGTGTCTTGTATGGTCCCCATGAAGAGAAATATATATATATATAGATAAAAGAGTTTGTCATCAACAGTATTGTGAGTGCATAAGTGCTACTCCTCTGCCTATCTTCACCAAACACCTCTGCCTGCATCTTAAGCTCTATTTAGCTAAATACCAAGAAAATACATTTTCTTCATTGTTTTCTGAAGTTTTCATGCATTGGTTATTTTACTTTTAAAAAACAACAACAAATTGCAAAAAACATGGTGGTGCATAGAAAAATAACTGACAAATTTGGAAAAGAGCTTTCTGTGACAACCTCGTGTGTCTTGGGCACAAAAGGAAAAGATGATAAAGGGATGACCTCTTATTATAGAAATTTTCCCCCACTGTGATAAGTAAAATGTTGTGCAAAAAATGTCATGTATTTTACAATAGATTTTTTTCATATCAGTAACTGGCTCATTAACCTGAAAAGATCAATATAGTATTATATATTGTTATCCTGCTGTAGCTTTGCTGATTGAAGAATTTAAAAAAAATAGAAGTTTAAAAAAATAAAGCTGTTAACTTTTAAGATTGATAAAATGATTTTTTTAAAACTTGTTATGCAGGTTCGCCCTTTACTACCCAAGGAGAGACTAGGTGGAGAACAAGCTTGTATTAGAATAGGTTCCACTCCTAATCAAGTAGTTGTGGGCACAGATAAATCATTTACATTTGATCATGTTTTGTTTAATTGTAGTCAGCAGGTAGGTAAAGTTTTTGAGCTGGATAATTATTTTTTTAATTTATTAGTTACACTTCACATTATACAGGTCATATAGACATGTAAACATTTTAAACTTTTTTATGTTTTAAAATATTTCAAAACACAGGAAGTGTATGGTATGTGTGTTGAGAATCTAGTTCACAGCATTTTTGATGGCTACAATGCTACTGTATTTGCCTATGGACAAACGGTTAGTTTTCATAACATACACTCTCATTTATGAACCTAAGGTCATTTGTATGAATGCAAGTTTGAGATAAAAAAAATTTAAAAACAATTGTTTTTAAAAAGGGTCAGTTAATATTTTATGTGTGAACTATTTTGATTTATTGCATGTAATAATTATTAAAGTATTGTATAAAGAATAGTTTCTCTATTCATAAATAAACAGTTATTAAAAAAGAAAAAGTCAATTTGTGAGGTTTTGATGAACAGCATAATGTTAACTTTCTAAATAAAGGCATTATTACAAATATAAAGTCTATTAGTTTACATGTTTATAACAATAATAGTAATTGCTTATTGAAATAATTATCTCTATCTTATATCTCTTAAACAAATTAATCAAGCTACTAATACTTGTCGTAAATTAAAATTTGAAAAAGGTATTGACTAATGGTTTGTTGTCCCTACCCTAAATTTACAGTTCTTATGAAAATAATTCAGCTACTGGGCATTCTTATTTACCTAAATGTTGACACTTTTTTGATAATTTTTAAAATTTTCACAAAATTTTTCTTGTGAAACATTTAGAATTGAGCAAAACACATAACTCAAAAATTACAAAAAAAAGGTTTGCAGAATAATGCTTTCCAATGTTTTCTGGCAGTTAGTGTAATATTTACATTTTAAAACTATCTGATTTTCTTTCACTGTTGTTTAGGGTTCTGGAAAAACATATACTATTGGAGGTGGGGATATAACAACTTTAACAGAAGAAGAATATGGAATAATTCCTCGAGCCTTAACTCACATGTTCAAGATTATGGAGGTATAATGTTTTTTTTTAAATGGGTTTTCAGCTTTGTGTAATAATTTTTTAATTACATTTCCTCCAGTTTTATCCTAATCAATTAGTAAAAATCTATTAGACAACGATTTTTGCATGCTTTACTCATAGTTCTTTTCATACAAGTTTTTAATATCATTTTTCAATTATCTAATGTTTTGCATGAATATTTTTTTTTTAAAGAAAACAGAGAAAATTACATTCACAGTGAATGTATCTTACATTGAAATATACATGGAAGAATTAAGGGACTTATTGTCTTTAGATACCTCATCTAAAGACTTACATGTTAGAGAAGATAGTAAAGGGAACACAGGTATGTATTTTTTCAGTAAATTATTTTTATAGCTTCAATGAATGTTAAGTATTATTTTTATTTTTTAGTAATGTATTATCTTTTAAATAAATATTTTAAAACACTACTTTTTACTTCTGCTTCACTTCAAATGTGCTGAATTAAAATATAACCCTTTTTGTCTATTTTAATATATTTAAAAGTGTTATTTTTTTATTATTTTTTCCCCAATTGAATTGAGAAAAATTGCACTAGCATGACTAGTTTAGGGAAATTCCATAATTAACATTACACAGTTTTAGCTAAAACTAAAACTCAATAGAGACTAAATCCTAATAATCAATGAATTTGTCACTTAAAATTCACTATGAACTAGTAATCGTTGGAGCAAGAGAAGTGGAATGTGAAAACCTTGATGAAGTAATGTCTCTACTGGAGTCTGGCTCATCAGCAAGACACACTGGCTCAACACAAATGAATGAACAGTCCAGCAGATCCCACTCTGTATTTACAGTAGTCATTGGTTAGTTTAAATTTTTTCTTGGGTGCAAATATATAAACATTACTCATGAAGGACAGCTCAACTGTTTCTGTATCCTCAGCACTTAAATATTCCTGATGTGAGTCAGGTATCTATTATAACTCATGAGTTTTGCTTAGCAAGGAACTGAGTCTTTTCAGCCCGAAATTTTTTTTCTCTGCAGAAACCTCCCCATCTTCGGATGAAAGGTGTTGTAATGCATAAAGCACAGACACACATACTTTCTTTTATATATATATTTGGGAGTTGGGCCAAGATTACTATTGTAACAAATCTTACAAAGATGCTTGTTAAAGATAAACAAATTGTTGGCTTTTGTTTATTACAAAATCTTTCCTAATGAGTGTTAATTAAAAAGTGTGCTGTAAACTACACTTAATATGTATCTAAATGTCTAATATTTATTAGGTCAAAAATGGTATGAAACAGATCCACTGAAAAGTACTAAATTTAAGCAGCTAACTGAGCTAGATGTTCTGGAAAATGAAGGTGATTATTCTGTAATTGTATAATTGTCACTTGTTTTTATTTTAATTAACAGAATATTCATTATTTCTACTCATCTCTCTGCAGACATCAACCATTATATGAGTGGGAAATTTCATTTTGTTGACTTAGCTGGATCAGAACGTGCACACAAAACAGGAAATATTGGAGACAGATTTAAAGGTACTTTCACATCGGATGTCTTTTTGAATTCTGATTTTAAAACCCTAAGACGTTTTTCCAAAATATTGGTTGTGTAAATAAAACCTAGAAATATTCACAAAAATTGTTTAAAAAAATATCCTACAGATTCCCCATTTATCAGCTGTTTGAGTGCTATTCAATCTATACTAACCCACTTAGTAATGTCTACACAATTTATTTCAACAATTCTTCTGTTTTTTTTTCTAGAATCAATTTACATTAACTCTGGCCTTTTGTCTCTGGGAAATGTGATAAGTGCTTTAGGGGATGTGAAAAAAAAATCCTCTCATATACCATATAGGGAATCTAAAATTACCAGATTGTTAAAGGTAAATATAGTTTTTAAAATATTAACATAGAAAACAGTTTCTTAAAGCTCTTTGTATCATTTTGAATTTTTTCATTCTAGGACTCGCTTGGTGGCAATGCCAAAACATTGATGATTTGTTGTGTGAGTCCTTCTTCATCCAGTTTTGATGAATCTCTCAATTCCTTAAAATATGCCAACCGGGTAACTGTTTTATAATTTCTTTTGTACTTTGTTATGTACATATTATATCTCATTATCAAATCAGAATATTGCAATTAATGTTTTTAAATGTTTTAGTTTCTAAGCTTATTTTTTCAAATGTTTGATTCCTTGATAGTGAAAATGAATTAAGATTTATTACATAATGTAACCTTTGACAGCTAACAGCAAAGCCTGACAGGCATAAAAAAGAAGAAAAAAATGACATGTTTAAATTAAGTTGCCATTTTGACGACACCGAGTTAATTTTTGTCAGATGGCCATTCTGTTTTAAAGGGTATTTTTTCCTGGCAATGTAATCTTAAAATTCTCATTCTTTATGATGAAGGCCATTAGCTATTACAACTGACATATTAATAATACTGAAATAATACCATATATTAAATAAATCAGGAGTGATCTCCCCTAAACTTTCTGGCTCTTCCAGTGCAATTGGTCGATAGTCTATAGACATATTTTTTAATACTTAAATTTTTAAATAGAAAAGAATCATGTAGAAAAATGCACCCTTTATATTATGTTAAAACATAAGCCATTATCTTCTTCATCAGAATCAATAAGTAGTTGTATTGCCTGAGTGCAGCATTCTACTTTTTTGTTGATATTTTGGTCTTTCACTTTCCCTTTTCCTAAAATCTATTTTTAGAATCATAATTCCGCACTAAAAAGACATATGCGCAGTTTTAGTCAGTCTTCCGCTAATTATATTTAATTAGACGGTATACCGGCCGCTAGGAATATGACGACAGATCATCAGGCCGGAAAACCGGCTTTTCGGACATATATGCCTAATGTTGAAGCGGCTTAAAGGGTTAAAGTAAATATTTTCAGTGGCAGCGTTGGTACTGTCGAATTCACAAATTATGAATTCCTGAACAGTAGAAAATAAAACAACTAAATAGCGGCGTATGATACTCCGCGGGTCGGCTCGTAAAAAATACATTTGTTTTAACTACTACATTACACTTTATCAATGCATGAAAATTCTATAATACTTTCCCAGCATGAAAACAAAGTAAAAGGAAGTAATTTTTTTAATGTTTTTTTTTTTAGTCATTTATCTCAGTCAAGGGAAATAATTAGTACAAGCTGACCCGCGGCATATCATACGCCGCTATTTAGTTGTTTTATTTTCTACTTTTCAGTACTTCATAGTTAGTGAATTCGACACTACCTTCTCTTCCATTCACCCCCCCCCACAGTGAAAGCAGCCATCCGTGACAACAGTTTATGGACGACAATGAAAAGATCAAACAGAACTTCTTATCTCTCATTAGTTTCAAATAGTTTAAAAGCTAAATTATCTGCCCCTAATAGCCTTTACTAATTCGACCTAGCTCTACGATTGTAAACTTTCGGGGTGAACCGTAGCTCACCAGAATGGTGGGGGTGGTAGCTATATGCCTAGAGAGCTGGGGGAGTAACGGCCTGCATTTACGTGGTGTCTCGCATGGTCCCCATGAAGAGAATTATATATACAGATAATTTCTCAGATAAAATTAAAATGTCTGTAAAGGATATTACATTTAGTTTAATTTTTTTTTGCACTTTACGTCAATTAAAACGTTAAACTGTAAAACGAAGGTTTATTTTGGAAATAATAAATATTGAGTGATCTAGACATCAGTTTGGATTTTAGTACCAAAATTAGGTTAGGGTAGGTTTGCCTGTCGCCCCTCCTGGGACATAGGCTGCTGACAAGAGCTTTCCAGGTGTCTCTGTCCTGGGCTAGTCTCTCCAACTGTCCCCAGGTGTATCCAATCTTCTTGGTGTCTTCTTCCAGGTCACGTTTCCAGGTCTTTCTTGGTCTGCCTCTCCTCCTGCCCTGTGGATTCCAGGTGAGGGCCTGTCTTGTTATGCTGGATATAGGCTTTCTGAGTGTATGGCCAATCTATTTCTGGAGAATCTCTACTTCAGCTGGCAGTTGATTTGTCCGTTGAAATAGAACATCATTTCTGATGGTTTTAGGCCAGCGAATTTGCAGGATCTTTCTGAGGCATGAGTTTATATATGATTGTGTTTTCTTCTTATTTATAGCAGTTATTCTCCATGTCTCAGCTCCATAGAGTAAAACATGTTTTACTAGTGTGTTGAAGACCCAGATTTTTATTCCAATGGTTAAATCTCCAGAAACCAAACATTTTTTAGTTGGTCTAAGAATTCTCTTGCCTTGCTGTCCTTATTTTAATGTCTGCTTCAGTCCCACCCTGCTTATCAACAATACTTCCAACAAGGTAGGTGAATCTATCCACTTCTTCTAGGGCTTCTTCTGCCAATGTTATAGGGGTGCTGTTTGATGCATTGACTTTGAGAACTTTACTTTTCCCTCTGTGGATGGTCAGGCCCAGGCCTGTAGAAAAATTAACAATACTGTTGGTTTTATTTTGCATTTGCTGTTGTGTGTGAGAAAGAAGGGCCAGGTCATCAGCAAAGTCCAGGTCATCCAGCTGGCTCCAGTGGGTCCACTGTATACTGTTTCACTTTTTCTCTGTTGACATCTTCATAATCCAGTCTATGACCAGCAGGAACAGGAATGGTGAAAGAAGGCAACCCTGCCTTACTCGGGTGTGTACTGGGAAGGCCTCTGTAGTCTGTTGGCCATAAAATACTCAACATTTCAAACCTTCATATTATGATGACATAATAATGTTGACTATTTTCTGTGGCACCCCATAGTGTCTCAACAATTTCCACATTGACTGTCTATCCAGGCTATCAAAGGCCTTCTCGTAATCTATGAAATTAATATAGAGAGATGAGTTCCACTCTTTGGTATGTTCCAGGGGCGGAACTACATTGCCGGCAGACTCCGCAATGTGGGGGGGGGGGGGGGGGGGGGGGGCCCACAACATTTAGGGGCCCAATTCCTATCCAAAAAAACAGTGAATTTTCTTTTCATAAATAGTGTTTTTCGTGCACCTTGATAGTGTTTTGTAAAAAACAAACAGGTCTACTATATCAGTGATTGTTCTACAGTAACTAACACACTGTTGCGTAGAAAAATATCAAATCTTCAAGAGCTGTACTTTGAAAGATAGGCAAACTTTCAGATTACTTCCATTACTTACTGCCCTTCATTAAAACACGGGTGCCCATAAAGCT